GAGCCGACGCTCCTCCGCCTAACTAGCTTGTGTGACGCGAAGTTATGCAGAGCTATCCTGGCTCGCCGGACAGACTAGAGCAAGGTCTGAAGGGAGCAGGTAAGGGAGGGGAGGAGGTGGATCCGTGGAGTGCTTTTTGCAACAGCAGCAGCTTAGACAGCAACAGCCGCAAGCGAGACCTCAGCAGCCTTTGCCAGTTGGAGCGCAGAGACAAGCGTCAGGTGTGGTCGGGAGGATATCTCGAGTCTTGGAGATTCGTTTAGAAATCACGTGCCGTGCCACCGCAGCCTGCTCCAGCAGTTGACTCTAGGGTTGAGCCTGGGTGCTTTAAACTTGGGTTCCAAACCTGGGTTAGAACCTGGGTTTCAAACCTGGGTGGTTATACCCTGTTTAAACCTGGGTTTTTTCAAACCCGGGTTCCAAATCTAGGTGAGAACCTGGGTTTCAAACCTGGGTTTGGAACCTGGGTTTAACCTGGGTTTTAACCTGGGTTTAACCTGGTTCATTAAACCCGGGTGGAGTAAGCCAGGGCGAATCAGGGGGTCAGGGCCGCCAGGAAGGCCAGCCAGGGTTGGAGGCCAGAAAGCCAAATGGAGTTGGAAGCCAGTTTTAGCCAGGTCTCCCTGGAACCGATCCAGATATTGCACGAGAACGAAGAAGAATGAAGGAAAACACGGATGCAGGTCCTTGTGGCAAGGAGATCGAACAACCTCACGCTCGGCTGCATCATGGCCCATCAGCTCAACAAATTAAATCTGTGTGCATGAAAGGTTAAACACTGGCCCATCACGACTCCACACCGCAGACATCTCAAGTCTCACAGTGCGGCAGTCAGCAAACAGGAAGCCTCCTTGCAGTGCACACGTTTTTGGAAGGGCTTTTTGCTCGGAATTGGATTCAGGATTTATCAGGACTGAAGATTGTGCATCGAGATCGTGCAGAGTTCCGAGAGAAAACACAGAGCAAGTGACTGACGAAATTCGATGTGCTTTCTGACTCTTTGTATCTGTCTGGCTTTGTGCTTTGACTTTATGCACTGGACTTGATTTTTCTGAAAGGACTCGACACGTTTGCTTGACTCTGTGACTCTTTGTTTGGGTTCTGGGCTGAGGGGACAGACTTGAAGTTTATTGCAGAGGTTTAGGGCTTGAGGTGGGTTTCTAGGCATTGGTTCACTGTAAACCAACAAATCTTGATTTTCGTTTGTTTCAACCATCCAAGAAAACTTGAAGTTTGGGACTTTTGAAACGTTGGCCCAACCTCCAACAAAGTTTGTTTAGACTTCGATTTGAGGTGCTCGAAAGAGAAGCATGGAGTGAAGTACATAGAGTCAAGTGCATAGTCCACAGAATGAAGATGTACTTGACTCTATGAATCTATGCACCAATGTACCTGACTTATGTACTTGACTTTATGCACTGGATTGGACTGGATTAAAATGACTCGATGTACGCGTATACTTGACTCTATGACTCTTTCGGGTTTAGGCTGAAGGTTTAAAACATGGGGTTTAGAGTTTATTGCTTAAGGGTTTAGGGCTTAAGGTTTAGGGTTTCTAGGCATTGGTTCACCAATAGTAAACCAATACATGCATCTCGATTTTCGTTTATTTCAATCATCCAAGAAAACTTGAAGCTTGGGACTCTTGAGCTGGAAACTTGACGTTAGCCCAAACGAGCCATCTCCAATGCTAAAACTTGTATAAAATTAGGAATTCGATTTGGGGCGCTCGAAAGAGAAGTACATAGAGTGAAATGCATAGAGTCAAGTGCATAGTCCACAGAGTGAAGATGTACTTGACTCTACGACTGTATGTACCTGTGTACTTGGCTTATGTACTTGACTCTTTGCACTGGATTGGACTAAGCTAATATGGCATACACTCTATGACTCTTTAGGGTTTAGGTTTACGGGGTTGAGGTTGCTTAAAGGTTCAGAGCTTAAGGTTTAGAGTTTATAGGCGTTGGTTCACCAATAGTAAACCAATAAACCTCGAGATTTTCGTTTGTTTCAATCATCCAAGAAACTTGAGGTTTGGGGACCCTTGAACCGGCAATTTGACTTCAGCCCAAAGGGGACAATCAGTACCAGAGTTTGTGTACAAAAATCGATTTTGGATCCAACCTGGGGGACTCTATGAATCTATGCATTGGGCTATTTGACTCTATGCGCTAGACTATGCACTTGACTTTATGAGTTTATGCATTGATTCGAGAGCTCTGACAGCATGGAGTGAAGTACGCAGTGAAGTACATAGAGTGAAATACATAAAATCAAGCACATCGATCTCGGCATTATTATGTACTTGAGGACTACATGCACTTCACTCTCTGGCTCTATGATTCTATGCACAGGTTTCTACGACGCAAAACTCTTCGCTAATGATGCTTTCGGGCCAATTGTCTTCTAGTTTTCTTTGACCCCTAAAGCGATATCGTGTGGCTTCTTCTTCCTTCGTGAAAACGTTTTTGTTTGATTTTATTTTCGATGAGTTTGATTTTTTTTCGTTCGCTTCTGCTCTAAAGCGATTTCGTGCTTCTTCATCTTGTATGTTTGAGAAGCTCCTGGCTCGAAACCTCTTTTCTTGTGGTGACGTCCCGATCAACATGTTTCCATCAGTGGTCTCTAATTTGTAATCTTATCATGTTCGCCAGGACATGGTTCATGCTTACTTGGTCTTTTTAAACGCTTGCAATTGCTAACAGATCTCTGTGCCGCCATGATGCTTTTCATGCTTTTTCAGATCTTGGCCATAGCTACCAGCATGCCAGGGTCAAGCAACCGTTCAAGGTCGCCAATTCACAGTCCTTCTTCTGAAGTTCAGCTCTGTGCATCAGGGAGCAGTGCTGTGAGTGGGCGTGCGGAGCCCAATCGGCGGATCCGAGCTAGCGGTGTCATTTCCGAAAGGAGCTTGCACAGAAGCGGTGCCGACAGCCCCTCCATATTCCAACCTTTGACTGCACGATGGCATCAAGAACCGGATGCTACTGAAACATGCTATCAGCTTACAGAGACTATGTCTGATCCGCCTCATCAGTCGCATATGGTTTTCTTGGACCAATTGGCAGTGCAAGTATTTGAGAATCACATTGGGCCGGACCTTCAACGCAATTTGCTCATGATATATATCAATGCACAGAGAGCACGCCTTCGAGAACTTCTAACAGACACATCAGGACTCTCTCAGTGTTTGCGCTTGTGCTTCTGTAGCTCAGGACGGTCTTGCTTTCTGGCATGTTGTGATGTTACACAAGCATGGCAGGCTGCTACTGCTCGCCATCAGGAAACGGTGGACATGATGCTGAGACTTGATAGTCGCCACCTTCGATGGCGAACCCACAGGTGGCAGCAGACTCTTTGCAGACGCAGACATTGCAGGTTGCGTAGATCTCGGAACAGACGGAAGCCTCGTGCTGAGACAGGGTTTTTGAAAATCCTCGCACTTTGCCAGCGAATGATGTTGTGGCCACTCTGTCCATGGCGATTTCTTATGTCGTTGTGTGCTCAGCTCAATGTGTGTCTGTCTGAGCCTAGCCAGGAACATGTGCATTCCGGTAAGTTTGATCGGTCATACCTGCAGCCTGTCCCTTTACACTCGGTTGCCACTGCCGAGAAAGCGAAGGCCTGGCCTGAGACAGTTGAGCCACGCTCCCTTGGCAGACTCTACAGGCTCATTCGATGCCCCTTCCGATGGTTTTTCTCTGCGACAAGCTCCACCTTGGACGTCGGGTACAGGTCTCAGCAGTCTCCAGCGCAATTTGCTTTCAGCTTTTTTCTGCGGTGCTCATCCTCATGTATTTCAGCTGCATTACAGTCATGCCTTTCGACGCATATGTGGATCTCAGCAATTCACTTGCTTGTGGCTTGGTGCCTGGAGGTATCTGTACATGTATCATTCTACGTATGCACTGCACCATGGTATGCACGATGCTTTATATCACATTATATAGTGCCAAGCCTCTTACATACTTTCTTCGGCTGCAAGCTGCTTTGGCGCGTTGGTTCCGGTGTCTGGTACATTGTACTGGAATGGCAGGGCAACCAGATTATCACGACCTGCCTTCTCAGATCAGAACGGAACTGGCTTCACAGCGAGCTCACCGACTCCTGTATGAGATTGATGAGTTTGCGAATCCAGTGGAAGCTGTGGGAGCAGACCCTGCCCTTTGTATGGCTGATGGTACATTGGTCCCTCATGTGGTTTCCAGACCTCCGGCTGGTGCTGGCTCCTATCCGAGCACCTTCGATGCAGCTCGCTTCTCAACGGAGCCGTTGGTTAAGGCCAAGGCCAAGCCCAGGCCTTCTCAGGCTCCACATGTGCAGTTGGCTGGTTCTCTACGCGGACATATCAAGGGCCTTCAAGGGCGCTCTCCGCATTGTTCGCGTCCACAAGGCCCCGCGAACTCGACCAAAAAGCCGAGCCCAGGGCTGTGCCTTCTTGTGGAGAGGAGGTATGCAATTGCGCAGGCCTGCCTCTAGCAACATGGCTACTCAGACGGATCCAGTGCCTCTCAGCCCTCTGCGACCAATGGTACAACGACCACCCGTGGGCTTCAATGATCCTGATCTATCTGACAATTCTGATGCATTGGGCTATGACTGCAATTCGAGTTCTGATTCTGAAAGGCTGTCTGCCATTGCACGCAATATTGTCAGTCAAGAGTTCAATCCCTCCGACAACGACTGACATATTTGTATCTTCCGCGGCCTTTGCCAAGGCTCAGCTGCAGTGGTATACACTGGCATTATTTGATGGAGTGTCGGTCATAGTATTTGTATTTTTCTCTGAGACTTGCAACTGGCAGATCCTTGTGCGAATCCTGGCTTTTCGTGGTGGCCTTCGCGAATATGTATATATGTTTTCCAGCGAGCGACTGACAGTGGTGGCTGAAAAATTCTCGGTGCATATTCTCTTCAGTGCTTGCTGCATGTATTGTACCTGGTGGTACCTGTGCTCTATGCGCTATTCGGTTTGCCGTATTGTCACTCAGCTCACTCAGGTCACTCAGATCACGATGAGTATCTACAGCCACTGCCTGAGTATCATGGATCGGTGTGCACCCGAAGTTGATATCTTGGCAGACCTATGGCGCAATGATATTGTTGACCTACCATCGCGAATTAACAACATTCAGGTCTTTGATCATTGGTGGTCAACGCCGGCCTCTCATGCGACAGTTGGCTGGTTAAAGATGCGTATCCGCTTGATCTTGATTGCCTTGCTGGTCTCCACGGATCCGACTTGTATACTTCAGGAGGTCTGCAGTTGGTTCGGCGTTTATGATTGGCTTTGTCTCCATCGGTGGTCGCCTCAGAAGCACCGGCTCACGCTTGATGGATCTGCCTGTTGGGGACTTGAGTGGTCACTGATTACGCAATTTGCAGCTTGGTGGTTCCAGCTTCGTGTATCTACATGGATGTATGTTCTTATGCTTCTGCTCTCCAATACTCACTGTATTACATTGTCATCCATGGTACATTCTGCACTTCAGATTGATCGGTGGCGATATTCCAAGTTCAGTGCATGGTATTGTCGAAGCACCCACCTTGCAATGTTTTCTCCAGAGCACCCTGAGCCCAAGCGTGCTTGGGACCACCGGCCGTCTTTACCCAGGAAAAGGCCACGGGAATCGTCCGCTCCATCAGCTCCAGTTTCTCGAGAACCACTCCCGAGGAGGTACAATGCCCAGGTGCCTCGTGCGGCACTGATGCGAACTCGACGTCCTCTCCCACGACTTCGTCGACTGGCTGCCTCATCGCGAGGTACTGTGGCTAGGTCAGCTGGCTCGGCGCAGCCAGTTACAGCTGCTTCCTCCTCCAGCCCTGCACCTCTAGTCCTGAAGGAACGGATCGACAAGGTCAATGTGGACACTCGGGCCCAGACAACAACGCCCAACAGCTCTCTCCGCCAGATGACTCGCAAGGAGCTCAAGTCCATGCGGAAGGCTCAGAAGGCAGCCACTGCAGCATACAATCAAGTGAAAGCGGCTCGTGAGGGAAGCCACACAGAAATGGATGCTGCGGGAAAGTGCTCAGATGAACCTGCAGGGACCCCCTCTGCTTCCTCAAAAATCAAGGCACGCCCTCGGCGCGTTCAGGCAGTACGGCAATCGCAGGCTGTGCCCTTGAAGAGCAAGAAGAGCAAGAAGGGCTCCATTCGCGAGTCTTTTGCGAAAAGCAAGAGCAAAGCTTCTGATGAGATACCAGTGGTGAATGCACAAAGCAGTGCAACCGATGGCGCCCGAGCTAACCCTGTTGGTGCTGCTGCTTCGTCCTCTATGCCTGAGTCTGTACCGATACAAGATGACATTATGATTCAGCGACAACAGCAGCTCCTAGCTATGCAGGAGTACGCCGCCAAGAGACGCTCTCAGCTTCGACAGCAGGCCCTCCTAGTACAGCAACAGGCAGCTGGAAATGCTGCAAATGCAGCTACCCCTGCGGCAGATTTATCAGCAGATCCTGCAGAACGTGCTCCGGCTTCCTCTGCGTACGCGAAAAAGTTCCCTCTTGTTCACAGACCGAAGTATATCTCACAACTGGCATACCGCATCTTCAATTCCATTGCAACCCTGGTCGGTGCCCTCCCAGGTCAGCTTCGTGAACTATGGCCAATGCCTCAATATTCCCCGGATGCTCACCATAGGATCTGGAGGAAAAGCAGTGACTCTTTTGCCCTGTGGTTGCTGAAGGTCGGGAGATACTTTGGCATTGCAGACAAGCTGAAGTGGGTGAAGGCATGGTGCACCTTGATGCTCAGGCTGCTTCACATTATCACAGCTTTCATTCTCCCAGCTGAGCTGCATGCACTATGGACCGATTATATGTGGCATTGGATGCAAGCTGTCTGTCTACAACTTCGCGGGCTGCCTTTGCGACTCTATACCATTTTGCATTCTCTTTATACTTCAGCTATTATGTTCTCTCCATCAATCAGGACGATCACACTTTTTTCGAATGAGCCTCCGGGTCCCAAGTCCCGGAACGACCCACCGGCCAGCACCAGGAATTCTTCTCTTTCTTCTTTTCGACTGGTCTGGTTTCGTTTTCTTCTTTTCTACTTTGTTATCAATGGGGTCGTAGGAGCGAGGGTTGCCTCTGACGCCACAGGGGCAGGATCACAGGAGCCAAGCGCGACTGTGACAAGCGGCGGAAGCCCTACCACACGGCATGGGAAGAGAGCGTTTCACCGAGCCCAGCAGCGGGCACAGGCAGTTGGGGGCACGTTTTATAAGGGACGATGGTGCACAGCGAAATCGCTTCAAGCTCAAAGTCCTTCCGTCTCATTCTCTCCTGCGTTTTCTACTTCTAGACCAAGGAAAGGTGCATTTTGTGGTACACAGACGAATCATCATTCTCGCTCAATCAACTTTATTACCTGGAACAGCAGTGGCTTGAGTTCTGGTGTCCTACAGGAATTCTTACTGTGGACGGACACGCTGCCGGCTTCCTCCCGACCTCATGTTATCCTGATACAAGAATCGCACTGGAGATTTACGTCCGAATATCGCCACGGGTCTTGGCTGGCCTTCCATAATGGGGTATCTGAATCTTCGCAGGATCGATATGCTGGCTTGCTCACTCTTATTCGTATTCCAGGTGTCACTCCGGATCATGTTCGTGTGCACAATGTACTGCAAGGGCGGCTGACACATGTGCGAGTTGATCTCCCTCATCGCAACTTGGATATTGTCCATGTATATCAACATCCCACCACATCGGATCCCAGTCGGACTATCCAAGACAAGCGCAGACGATTATTTCAGCGTCTCGATGCGGTTGTTCAATCAATGCCGGGTCGCAACTTTTTGGCTGTTGGAGGTGATTTCAATATCGCGTTGCCTTTTGCCCCACCTCATACCGGCAGCTCCCTCGTTGCACCATACCCAACACAGTCTGAGCACACTGCAGCCAATAATACACTATTGCGCATTCTTGAGCGACACTCCTTGCAAGCGGTCAACACTTTTCACTGTCGGCCATGCTACACATATCAACATCGCGACAGTCGCACCCAAATTGATTATATCCTGGTCCGACAACATGATGCCACTGCACGTGCCAAACAGGCCCGACCAGTTTATGACCAGGTTTTGATGGCGTGGCGGGACACCAAGCATCATCCTGTTCTTGCAGAATTTTCTCTGCCATATACTTGGTGGCCCAAGAAACCGACAGTCATGCCGTATGACAAGAAAGCCATGCTTGCAGCTTACAACACTCAGACAGATGCATATGCTTCCTTCGCCTGTGATGCGAGTGAGACCGTCAGTAATCTTCTGGACAGCTCCTATGATGACATTTGCTCGGGCTTGCTTCAGGTCTGCAGTCGGCATTTCCCTCCCACTGGATCGCAGGCACTTCAGCCCTGGCAACATCCGCTTGTATCAGGTTCCATTCGGACTATGTGGCAGCACTTCAAATCAGCCCAGTTATACAAGCAACGCCATGCCTTTGATCTGCCTACGTGCTTTGCACAGTGGTTTCATCTCTCTAAATTTCGATCGATGAGGAAACTCACACAATCTTATGGTCGCCAAGTGAAGAGGTCTCGGTACCTCGACCAGATCCAGAAGGCGGAGGAGGCTGCGAATGCACACAACCCTTATGAGTTGTATCGTATCGTTCGTCGTCTTGCTCCTAGGCAGCGCTATCAGACCGTGCAGATCCGAGACGAAGACAATAGTATCATTTCTCATGCCAGAGAACTGGAACAACTACGGGTACACTTCACCAAGGTCTGGAGTCTTCCAACGAACTGGAAGTGCCCCACTCTGCTCAGTCGATCTGATGTTCTACCTCACATGTCTTTGCAGGAAGATGTCTATGTTCCGCAGACAGACAAGCTTCTGGTTTGTGCCTCCTCCATTCCACCCTACAAGGCACTACCCAAAACACATCCGATTGCGCCTGCTTTTCGGGCGGTTGCAGATCTGCTTGGTCAGAAAGTTCTCAACTTGCTTGGTCGCGAGTTCCGAAAACAGATGCCAGGCTCCTGGAATCTTACTCATGTGGCTTTGATTCCCAAACCGGGCAAGAAGGTGGGCGCCATATCCTCATTGCGACCAATTGGCCTCCAGGATCCTGTTGCCAAGTGCTATGTGAAGGTTTTGGCGGAAGATCTCAAACCTTACGCGATGACATATCTCCGGCGCATCCCTCAACACGCTTACCTGGCTTATCGCTCAACCTACACCGCTATAGTTCAGGTGACAGATCATTGTCGTCGGGGTCGAGATCTTTTGGCCTCTTATGCTCATAACCTTCACCAACGTCGCCAGGGACATGTTAAACCTGGTGAATTTTGTGCATGCCTGCAAATTTCTGTTGACTTGTCCCAGGCCTTTGACACGGCACCGTGGGCTCTACTGGAACAGGCCTTGAATCGCACTGCAGCACCCAGCGACCTGAAAGGACGTATCATGGAATGGATCACGGGCACCACCTATGTGCTTGAGCACCGTGGATCGAAGGTCAACATTCCTGCTGAGAGAGGAGTGCGCCAAGGCTGTGTGCTTAGTCCTTTGCTGTGGAGTCTCTTTACTGGACTCATATATGAAGAATTTCAGTACATTGTTCAGGGATCTGGTATCTCACCAGACATTGTCTTCTTCGCTGATGACAAGCACTTGGGCTGGTTACTACGGAAGCCTCAGGAATTGGCCCTGGCCCTGGAACAATTTGGCAAATTTCTTTCCTTGCTACGATCCTTCGGTCTACAAGCCAATCCCACGAAAAGCAAGGCTATATTGTCTATGCGTGGCTCTATGTCTCAAAGTCTTCGTCGTTTGTGGGTATCACTGTATAGAGGCGAGAGCTGGCTGCGTATTCCGGTGGGCACGAGCAATGAATACATACCTTTGGTGCAGCAGATTGATTACCTGGGTATTGTCCTTTCGTATGGCAGATTTGAAGACCTCAGTTGGAAGCGTAGGTTCGGTGTCTCCCAGGCCAGCTATGAACGTCTTCGCAAGATTCTCTTGGGTCACCATGTGTTGTCTCTGAAGCATCGCATACAACTGTGGCGAGCTGTTGTTCTATCCTCTGCTTGCTATGGACTTGTTGGTGTCGGCTCGAGCCAATCTGGTTATGAACGCTTACATGGGATGTGCATGAGGCATATGCGCGCCATCGCAAGAGCCCCCCGACATCTCACTCACGAAACCAATGATCACCTGCTACAGCGACTGGGGGTACCGGCACTTGGTACGCATCTTCATCGTGTTGCCGTTCGGGCCTGTGATTATCATCTTTCGTTGTCCCAGCATCTGGATTCATCGGATATTGTTTGTAACTCGTTGTATGCCGATTGGTATGGCACCTTATCAAAACAGATTGAGCAAGCTGTGGAACGGACGAATTTGCTCAATGTCACCTATGTACAGGATTCCACTGACCTTCCGTATTCGTGCGAATTCTGTGAACGCACCTATGCCACTATGCGGGATCTGCGAGCACATCAAACGAAGATGCATTCAGATGATTTGCCTGAGGACTGGAACCGGAGTCAGGTTACGCTTGAAAATGTCCGCACGTATGCAGTTGATGGTATGCCCACATGTTCATTCTGTCTTCGCGATTTCAAGAACTGGCAGAATTTGTATACACACTTACTGCATTCACGTTGCTCGGCAGCGACAGCAGGGTTCGAATCAGTAGCGGCCATATCGACCTCCTCTACCGCGGCCCAGCCCTTTGTCCGGGACTCTGCTTTCTTGGCTAAGCTTCGCCAAAATGGTCTTCAACCTTTGCGTAAAGCGGCTGGAGTATTGCAGGAGCTTCGACATCACTGCTGCATTTGCAGGCAATGGCTGGTGCACTCAGATTATGTTTGCTCGCACTACAAGAAAACACACGTGGCTTTGTGGAAGGAACTTGAACCCAGAGTACGAGCCCTGGTGCGACCTAGTTATTTGAGTGCACAATGTCCTTATTGCTTGCGTCGACCCTCTCGCAAGGGTCGACACAGATGTCCGGTTCTTATGCAGGTACACCTGGCCATACTGCAAGATGGACGAGAACCTCCGCGAGGGCCAGGAGTTGGCACCTCCCAGCCGGGAGGAAACCAAGTATTTTACGGACATGTTTCCCAAGCCACAGTCCCCCACCCAGATGCCGGAGCAAACGGCTCCCATGGATACAAGTGCACAGCCAAAACGTGGCACTTTCGACGACTCTTCGGCCAAGGAGGAGGGACAGCAGAAAGCCCTCAAAGCGACGGCAAAGCTTGCACCGAAAGTAGAACCAGCGATGACGGCTTCCACAGCGGCTACACCGACCGGCTCCCAGAGCTCCCAACCATTGCCATCCCTGCCACCTGCACCCTCGACAGCAGACCAGGACACCCAGCAGAAGGGCAAGAACAAGGGGAAGAAGGACAAGGGCAAGGGCAAAGGCAAAACTCCAAAGAATGGCAACAACGGTCCCTCGCAGACTTCTTCAAACCAGCAGGCAAACCTGGTGTCAGCCATAGGTCGTCTATGTCTGAGACACGAAGATGCAATCGCGATACAGCAAGCCAACCAAGGATATATCTTCTTTCTACGCACGACAGGTCCCGAGTCCATCATTCAGCCCTTGGCCCGAGTATCGCAAGCGTGGAACCAAGCCAAGGAAACGGAGATACCCCGCCATCCCCTTCGCATCGTCCTTCTGTCAACCCTCCTGGAAGCCACCATAGAGCGAGTCGAAGCGGCCGTGAAACCGGACAAGAGGGACGCAACGATTCAGACAGGCCTTGTGATCAATCAGGGCGGCGAGCTGTATTGGCCATACATCCAATGGAATCAAGAACAGCGCACGGAGGAAGTGATT